TAATGATAATATGACATTGATACACTAAGTTGTAAAGGGAATATTTTATATTATATTTTGCTTCATGACAATAAAGTCCAAACAAGAAAAGTTAAATAAATATATAAATAGAAAAAATAGAAGAAAAATAAAGCCAATATTGGGATATATATATATATATATTATATACACATTATGTTGCAAGGTGGGAAGGACTATTATCGGATATTTGCAACTTGCCAAGAAGCATGGGAGGAGAGAAAATGGAAGAACAAAGGTCAGATAATAATCTCCCTCCCCCAACACACATTTCTTATCCGTATAGGCACTAAACACCAAAGCTCACCCAAATTGGCAAGCTTATACAAATATATACATACATATACTAATTCTATACTTCTACTTGTTCCGAAACATGAATGAGACACTTCAACACGTGTCATTTCCCCATTCCTTCTTCTATCTTCCCACCCACTTCAATATCTTTCAATAATTATACATTTGCAAATCTTTCACTTCTCTCTTTTTAATTAATCTTTATTATCCCATAATCTATCTCTATAATTGATCTTTTATTATTATGTGTCTTAATATTAATTTTTTAATCAGATATCATTAATTAATTAATTAATATGAAATAGAATAAGATATTATATTAAAAAAAATTTGGTGGGTCCAATGCTAAAGTCATGCCATTTTGGGGAATGAATATATACTCTCGAAATTTGTGCCTTACCCTTTTTGGAGTTGTGGAGCGGAATGGATATGTCGAGAAAAAGAGAAAAGAAATCAAACACATATAAATGTATACATACATATATGTATGTGTATATATACATATATATATATCTGTCATGAGGCCGGGACTGTTTTAATTTATACGGAGAATATATTTATCTATAGACTATAAGTATATATTTCATGAACCTTCTTCACTTGGCCTTGTTCTTTGCGTTATGCTCACGCCTCAATCATTTAAACCTCTTTTTATTATTAGATTAAATTATCATTTATTAATATTACTTATATAAATTAATATAACGAAATAAAATATTTTTTAATTAAATTTTAAAATTTGACATGAGTTAATTTTTTTAGAAAATGAAAATTAAGGTTGAGATTGATGTATAATATTTCATATTGTCAATGTTATACTATAATAACGATAGAAACACTATTTTAACATATATATATATATATATATAGATATGTGGGTGGGTGTGTGTGTGTATATATATGCCATCCTAATTGGAAGACATAAAACGTGTCAACCAATCAATCTCTATCAATTTGCTGGCATAGAGTCATCAAATATTGAAGCTTTATAATTGGGGCAAAATTCTTGAAACGATGGAGTTAGTGAACATGACATCATTGATGATCATACATTGTTGGACGAATCTTCCTCACATAAAATTAGGAAATATTATATATATATATATATATATATATATATATACACACACACACACACACATAATTAGGAAATATTAGAATTAAAATTTATATTCTCATTCTACTTACATTAAGCCACCAAAATTACTTAATGTCCCTTAGCTCATTCAGATTGCTTTTCAGACATTAATCATCACCTTTTGATTATTTCAAACTAATTACGTGCTCAAGTTTGGAATTGTCAACTTGATGACCCAATATACATATCTATATATATATATACACACACACCTATATATGCAACATTGAAAATAATTGATTTTCCACTTAGCCAACCAAAAAGGAATAATATTTACAATTTCCCATTTTCAATTGGGATATTATTTTATTCAAAAGTGAGAAATAGTATTTTCATTGCACTAATTAAAATTTAAAAGAGGGTACGAGTAGTATACTCTTAATTTAATTTATCCAATTATTTATATATATATATATATATATTAAGAATTTCACAATATTTATATCGATTTATATTTCGATAAAAAATTTAAGATAAACAATAAAATTTATTTTTTTTAAAAAAAAAATAGTAAAAATATAAATCCAAATTAACGTTTAGTATTGAGGTCCTCAGTCGTTGGGTGGATTGGGACGCTTCCCCGGGTTGATGTATGGGGCAGGCGGTGGGCTGCGAGTTGGTGTGCGCATAGCTGCTTTTCCTTCCTTCAGGCCTGCACCCAATTCACCATGCATGCATTTTGTATCATCATACGTTAACCATAACACACATATAAATATATCTACTTAATTTTTTTCTTTTCTAAAGTTCATTAATTTTCTTCTTAATATTAATATTATTTAATTTAAATAATACCATATTATTATTATTACAAAATTAACTATTTGAATTTGAGCTTTATCCTTCATTTATTTTTTAACATAATTTAAGTAAGATAATAATATGTTCTAAGAGTATTAATAAAATAATTAAAGAAAATGTGATTCACAGGCTACTCTACATCCGACGCCTAGGTTTAGTGGGCCAAGGCCCATTTTATTAGAAGTCGGGTCAATGGGGGCATTTTTGTAATTTAACAATATGACTAATTTTTAAAGCTTGATTTTCCATTTGAGTTGACCAAAAGGAAGAATGAATTTTCAATTTTCATTATTCAAATATAAAATATGAATTAAATAAATAAAAAAAATCCACTGAAGTTTAAGATGCATAACAATTTAACATAAATTTAATTTAAATAATAAAATTTAAAGTAAGTTATGCTAGAATTTTGAAAATATAAGTACGTGTGACTTGAACATATATATAGTCGTGAATTAAGACATATAATATAAGATATATAATAAATGGGTGTTTAATCTTGAGTTGGTGGAGGACTACTTAAAATAGGAGGTCTCTCAGGTGGGATATGATGCTTTTTCCGGTTGGTGGATGGAGGAGGTGGTGGGCTGAGCATTGGTCGCCGCAAAACCACTACTTTTCCTTGCTCCACGCCTGCAATTCCCCATTATTATACATACATACATACATGCATACATATATATACATATATTTACCAGCAATTTATTCCAAATACCAATTGCTTTTAATATAATTTGATTATCTGGGTGTATGAGCATATTGTCATTTTCCTATGTATTGCCGATTTCTACGTGGATAATATCAACTTAGTTTACGTAAATTTGTCAAAATTGGAACCTTTTTAATAATGGGTTATTACTCTATGTGTGTGTATATATATATATATATATATATATATACACTGAAATATATATCTACATAGGTGGGAACCAACTAAAAGACATTTGGGGACAGCATAGGATCCAAATTATGCAAATAAGACCAGTTAGTGATCACATCATTAATTGTGCAAATTGTTTCTTGTCAAATTTTTCTTTCAAAAAATCCACTTTTACTTTTGCTGTCTAATATTTCATGATAGTCAATATGATCATCTTATTCTTCACCAGATCAATCAAATCTGAACTTGGACTCATGTGAGACAACAAAATCTAAAACATATATATACACATACATATATATATATATATACATAAGAAGCAATAATTATACCAGAGATCAAAAAAGAAGAAGAAAATTGAATTAAGTTAAACGTACCTAAATCTGCACAAACCCCATATGTGTGCAAGGTTAAGATGGCGGCAGGGATGAGAATGATGATAATAAGAAGAGAACGAAAGGAACATAGTGAAAGACCCATTTGATTAATGTATGTATATGTTTGTGTATGTCTGTGTGTGTGTATATATATATATACAGTTGGTCCTATAATTAATAGTCAACTCTCGCTGGGTTTTCACGCTATTTTACTTTGTTTTCTTATTCTTGTTGCCATTATAATTGTTTAATCTTAATTGTTTCATTAAATTTCCTTGGCAGCTTCCAGGAGTCTTCGTCAATCTTATTATATGAAAACCCATCCCTCTCTTCACTCTGTATATAATATATATTTATGTATATACACATATATCAAAACTCATAACATTTCATTCACAACAATTTATTAAATTATCAAAATATGATAAATACTCTAATTTTTTTAAAATGGAACTATACACAATGTTCAAATACTCGTAGTTATTTAATTTAAAAAATAAAATAGGTTGATGTAAACGATTAAAACCAGTCAACATTCCACCATGAATACAATTTAAAAATAGTCAAACATTCCAACTCAATGTTTTTCATAAGAACAAAGAAATGTTCAAACTCAACGTCCATTTTTCTAATGAAAATAAACAGAACAAATCGGTCGAATCTCCATAATCAGCCAAATAAATATGTGTTGGTCAATGGGTTTCACCCTAATTGTTCATATATATATATATATATATATGTGTGTGTGTGTATATATATATATATGAATGAGAGGCTTGCTGAAAATATTTTAGGATTCTTTGCCCAATTGACAATACCAGCAAACATTGACTTTGAATCACATGTTTCTTATAAAATATGAATGTACGTATACATATATTTCTCAAAATACATAAATAATCCACAGCAAGTCATGCATTATTCCTAAATGCAACATATATATATATATATATGTTCATATCTAATAATTCTTAATTAGCGAAGAAACTTAGTTTATACTTGATTTATTTATATATTACCTACCAACCTATCCAATTAAATTTTAATTAAATATGTATAGATATAAAGTTATTTTTATATATTAATAATTGCAAATTTTTTAAAGAAAGAATACAATTTTAATTATTAATAAATATGCATTTATCTATATAATACATTTTTTAAAAAAGAAAATCAATCTGGGCCAATTCAGAACCTGAACATGGGCTTGGGCAGAACGTGATCAGCTCAATGAACAATTGAGAACACCACTGAAATTAAAATTTAATTAATTATGTAATTAAGAATTTTGTTAAAATATTAAAAATTATTTTAAAAACTGTATTTTGTGTGTGTGTGTGTGTGAAAAAAATACAAATCTAAAGTAAAGTCCAATACTATTATAATTAATTTAGATACAAATAAAATATCTGTCTCTCAATTAAATTCTCCAATATTAGCAGCCAGAGAAATTTACAGAATATTATTACAAGTACTTAATCCTAATTAATTAATCTATACTGCGCATGCTATTATTATCATAAGATCCAACTTCAACATCTGCTTGATTGGTAGCTGGTGGCTCAGTCCTTACCGTGGAGGAATTTGCTCTCCCACTCCTCTCCGCTATCACCATTTGAATATATGCATGCGGTGCCCAACCTGCAGTAATCTCTTATTAATATTTTTAATTTTAATTAACGACCGTTAATTAATATAATTAATTAAATTTTAAGACACTGAAGGAGAAAGTAATGTGGCGAACCATCATTGTCGTATGGGTAAGGAAAAAATTGCAGGTAACAGAATGCTGCAACTGTTGATCCTGTTTATTAAATAGTTAATAACTGCAAATCAGTATTAATTAATTTAACAGAACCATTAATTAGTGCATTGATAGAACTAATTAACCTATAAGAGCTCCGGCGAAGACATCGGTCCAGTGATGCCAGTAGTCATCGACACGAGAAATACCCACGAGAGCAGCAGTAAGAACAGGAAAAAACATGATACAAAGTTTTGCGACATGACCTCTACGATCAAATACTCTAATTTTCCCCGATAAGTACCACGATAGGTATGTTAAACCTGCAAATGACCCTGCACACATAAAATCTATCGAAATAAGTCGTGTTTTTTAATAAGAAAATACAATGATATAGGCTCTTTTTTTGTCTTTAAATCGAACCTGAACCAACCCGGGTTAGGGCATGTAGGCTTTGACTGTTTGCAACATGTTTTGATACATGCACTTTGGACTATTGGGGAAACTATTTGTGTTCTTTTATCAATCAAATTATTTCGGATCCATAAGTTTAATTCCACTTTTAATAAAAATTCTTGTTCTTGAAGATACAAGTGAGACTTACATGAAGTATGTCCACTGGGGAAACTTTTATAACCTTCCTTTATGATTCTTGGATCCCCATGACAAATAACATCCCTGGCAAAATTATCAAACACCTGGAATAATAATGAAAAAGACCAATCCAAGTGAATTATCAACAAATAAATCCAAGTAAATTGTTCTGTGTACATATATAGATAAGATAGATACAGGCACATACCGCCTTTCCATCAGGAAAGCAACGCCAGAAAAAATTGGGTCGAGGCCGGCCAACAGCATCTTTGATTGAATCCGTTATAACTCCGGTTACAAGAACAGCGTAGGCAAGGCCTGGGTTTGCATTATATTGTGAAATTTATTTAGACAAGAAGAATTAACCATAAGAGCTTTACAAAATTTTATTACAAACATAAAATATACAAAATTTTACCAAGTATGGCATGGTGCAGGTCGTATACATCCTTCCGGTGATAATAGTACACGGCAAAGACTATGATCGGCAACACTATCGTGGGAAACTGTTAATTCGTCGAACCAAAGTTAAATGGTACCGATTAACTGGAAGAATTAACGAGTAGATCATATATGATGTTGCACAGTAGAATTATATGCATACCGGAACAGCCCAGAAAGGAATTGTATCTTCATGAAACGGAAACATAATATCCGTCAACATGTGTGGTCCGATGTACCGATGAAAAGGTTCGATAACATTTAATATAATTTCTATCACGATGAGAAGTATAAGAATCAACCAGTCATGCAAGTGTATTCTTGCAAGCTTTGTTCCATGAGATTTTAACGTGTAAGCTCCCAACAAAATTTCTGGCATTTCCTTCAACTATACAGATTTAGTTTTATCAGCCATAACCTTAAAAACTTCAATATATATATATATATATGATCGTAAATTCAATAAGCAACATTGTTTATGAATGATTCAAGAAAATCAATTAAGTCTTTATTTCTAAATCTAGGGTTTCTTAATGCAGAGAACCTGTTCGAGAAATTGATAAACGATTATAAACTAATTCAATTACAAGAATCGCATCTCTAAATAAAAATGTCATGCGTATAAACATATATATACATATGTAATAAAAGTGATCGTACCTTAAAGGTGAAATGCCGTACGATGAATCACAGAAATGGCGATTGTACAAGAGATAGAGAGGAGAACCTAATTGTTGGTTGAAGAAGAATTTGAATTTGCAGGGAGGGGAAACGTTGGTGAAACGAGAGCTAATTAATTTAATTAATTAGCTCTCAAAAGAAAAGAAAAATGAATTGTGGGAAATAAAAACTACAAGAAAATGTTGAGAGGATTTCAAAATTCAACATTAATATCTTTTGTAATTTCTAAAAATATATTATATATTTTAGAACTAAAAATATATAAAATTTGAAGCCAAGAACAATTGCACTATTAGGGCACCCATTGGTTGGCTATACATAATTTTATTTTCTGTTGCTCTCTCTTGAATCTCACAATCGGTTATACGTGTATATATATATTATATATAACGTCATTACCACTTAGTTTGGATCGGGTTCTTGTTTCTACGTTTTTGCATTATTTAGGTTGGATGTATAACGTTAATTTGTTCGACAGAACACGTACGTAAATTTTCTTATTTTAAGATGTAAGAATCAGTTTTAATTAACTAGCTGTTTTTAAATTATGTTTGATGATATATTCAACATCAAGTAACTAACAATCCAAAGATTAATTGTCATTTAAAATTTAGCTTATGAGCCCTTAATTTCAATAATCAAATTTTATTAAGGAACGTCATATAATTTGGATATATTTGTCCATTAATTTGAATTTTGATGCTTCATTTAATTGGGATAATCAGATAAATTCAAAATGTGATTATTTTAATCAAATTATATTTATTTGTTAGTTTTTAACGAAGCTTTAATCATAATTAAGTATTACTATTTTCTTGGATATTAAGGCTTCCAATGCACTATTAAGGGTTAGATTAGTTGATGAAGAAATGTGTAATATTAGAAAATACATTTTCAAGACCATCATCACAAAGAAATCAGGCTGTATTTGTCATAAAAAAATACTTTTTTAATTTATTTTAAAGAGATTTATATGTGCTTTATTAGTAAATTGTTTGTGTTATGAGTATTTGATAAACATGTAACTCTTAATTACTTTAATTTATAAATATATATGAATTTAAAAATAAAATAATTTTTATATATCGAGTAAAATCTTAATTTTTCTATACAAGAATGAACTTGAGAACATTAAAAAAATATAAAAGATGTATACAACTTTTTTAATTTTGGGATGACATAAGTTTAAACTTTTAATATCATATCATGATTAATTGATATACAACTCTGAAGTTGGACAAAAATAATGATTTGATCTATGTACCAAATACTTTTTATTTAAATTAAATTTGAACAAATTAATTCATATATATTTTTAAAAATTTTAAATTAATCGATCCTTTTAATCCAATATTAATATTATTAAGTTTGATGTCACGTATCAAATCTAACAATACATTTTTAATTTATTGTTGTACAAGTAAAATCACGTTAAATGATACATGATATCGGATTACCACCTTTGATCAGTTTTGATTACACCATGCGCCATGCCTGCAACCTTCACATCTTGCTCCGTCAGGCTGGATCTCCGACTTAATGCATAGTTTTCTTTTTATTAAGAGAGAAGGGAAATTTTAGGGTTGGAGGTTTTTTTTTTTTTTTTTTTTTTTGAATAGATCTGTACGAAAATCCGTTCATATTAAATTTTTTTTTGTATTATGTTAAATTTGTATAGCGATGAATTAAAAAATATCAGGTACGGTTAAATTTAACATCAGTTTTAATATTATTAATAATTAAAATATTGTTTTTACCTTAAAAAGTAGTAATGTAGATGGTAAAATGCAGAAAGCAGAAAACAAAACTAATTACTAAGAAACGCTGACCAGATCCAACTCAGTTCATTAGCAATTTTTTAGCTCAGTCTTTTGTAGTCAGTTATAACTTCAATGAAATCCAAGTGAATTTTATAAGAATTTCATGTGCCTCAATTGGCACCTGGTTCAATCCACTGGGACAACCCCAGCCTGAAAATAAAAAGTGTGACCAATGTATGTGTAATTAAATAGAAGGAATTTATACCCCAATAGTTGCTCTCTTGGGTTTCGTTTTTCTTTTGCAGCCTCCTCGTATCTGAAGGAAGAAAACACAAACTTCAAAAAGCCACCATGAATTTTCTGCTTAATGTTAGCCGTGCACAATATCCCATGAAAATACATGTGATTAGTGCTAAGTAAATGGCCTACTTGTCATATAATAACACTTTTTTTGTGCCCAACCATCTTTGCCCTCCCAATAAGCTACACCAAATCTTTTACCTCTCTTTTTTTCTTTTGCACAACTTCAATTTTACTACCTGTCATCTACTAACTTGTCACGTAATAGGAGGAGGGTTTCAAGAATGTACCAAAACCCATGCCTCTTGAAAGATACACATACTCATACCCATGTCATAAAAACTATACTTTACACAATAATATATATGTAGGAGAAGACCCTTTTTAAGTACAACACAAGAGGGGACACTCAAGTTGCAGAAACTTAAAACTTTCTTTTGCCATTCCAATGGATCCACCGCCACTCCATGTCCTTTCCGGGCTCACTCCTCCTATCTCCCCCAATATGACGGCCAACTCACTTGCCACACCGGCCACTGCTGTCCAAATTAACTATGCGGATTCCATGGAATCATCCCCTCGCTCCCGCCCAGGAGATTCAAACGATCATCATCTTGAACGTGAGATACTTCCACCAGTCCCCGGCGCCAAGCTCCGTCTAATGTGCAGCTTTGGAGGACATATCATGCCTCGTCCGCACGACAAATCGCTAGTTTACGTTGGTGGCGAGACAAGACTGGTCGTCATTGATCAACATTCCTCCTTCTCCTCCTTTTGTTCTCGTCTCTCTCGAACTCTCCTCAACGGCCGTCCTTTTACCTTGAAGTACCAGCTTCCCAATGAGGATCTAGACTCGCTTGTTTCAATCACGACCGATGAGGATTTTGAAAATATGGTGGAAGAGTATGATCGCCTGTCAGAAAGTTCAACTTCCTCTCTGTCATCTTCCCGCATCCGGTTATTTCTTTTCGTTAGCAAACTTGAAACTGCAGCAACCATGGGGTCTCTGCTCGACGACGCCAAGTCGGAGACTTGGTTTGTTGATGCGCTTAACGGTACTGGTTTGTTACCTAGAGGACACTCTGATTCTGCTACTCGGAACTGCTTGCTGAATCTTGATGACAGTGATTTGGAAGCACAAGTAGAGGAAGAGAGCAAGCAACAGGCTAAGATTCGTAATGAAGAGGTGCAGCAGACTATGCCTGACTCTCCTATGGTGGAGAAAAGCTCCTCTTTTGGGTCTTCTTCTTCGTCGCCTTCCATGTCGAACTTACCGCCTATTCGAGTACGTGCTGAGGAGCAAAAGGTCGGAATAGAGGAGCAGTTTGCGCAACTGAGTTTCCCTGCCAATATGCAGAAGCAAGAAGATGGTTATGGCCTTGTATCTACTGCTCCACCTCCAATGGCTGATGCATCTATTAACCATCCAGGAATTAACAGGGTATTGTCCGCAGATGAAATATCAGATCAAGGTGAGCCTGGTGGGTTCCGGAGACCTCCTCTGCCATTGCAGCCAAAAGCTTCTTGTACCAGTTATAATTTGCCTTCCCCTGATTCAGTTGCCAGGTACTTTTCAAATCAGCTTGATTCTTTAAGCTTCATTTTCTTTTGCTTTAAATCTACATCAAGCGCCGAAAATGGAAATATTCAGTTAACAAAAGGGAGGGAAGAGATCCATTTGCAGTTGTTCTTCAATCAAACAAAATCCTATCATAACTGAAAATAGCCATTTAGAATTAACCCAGAAAATATTGTTTATTGTTCTATAGAAATGTACAATGTGGTATGATAATATGTTGAGCATGATTTCACTGTGCAGTGACAGTAGTATTGCATCTACAAATTCTTTCTCAAAGCCTGTTTACTATCAAGATCAACAAGCTAATCATGTTGCACTGAGAGAAACAGCCAGAGCAACCACTAACATAAACCCTGAGCATTCAGTCCCAAACTCTGCAATCCAGATTCAGCAAGTTCAAGATTCTGGATACATATTGCCGCCTCCACAACTCAATCCACAACAACAAAACCAGCAGCAGCAGCAACCTCCACAGCAGTTTGTACATCCCAGCGTGCACTACATTCTAGATCCTGCCTCAGCTCAAGTGCCAATGGCATCTTACTATCCAGTCTATGCACCCTCAGTGCAACAGCAGCAACAGTTTCATCATCACCCGGCTGATCAGAACTACCCGGTATATGTCATGCCGGTTGCCCAGGCCCAAACATACACAGCAATCCAATCTAACATTGCTGAGACTTCTGTTGTGGGTTCAAGTCGGCCACTAACACCTCCAAATCATAACATAGTTGCAAGCTCTGCAGCTTACAGAGATGGCATTCCACCAATTTACCCGGCGAAACCAGCTACAACCCCTAAACCTGAAATACCTTCAAGTGTTTATAAGACAACCTTGACAACAGCTCCTCAAATGGTGCAAGTCCCCTCCAGCCAATTTCACTCACAGTATGTGGGATTTCACCCATCACAGTCCATTGCAGTTGCTCCTGCCGCTTCTGGTGCCAATTTCGGTTATGAATTTCCCAGTGCTGCACAAGACCAACTTTACTACAATCAACACCAAGTTGCTCCATTGCCTTCCCAATATCAGACTATGACACCAGCTGCAGCTGTGGCCGCATTAGCAAATGCTTCAAAACAGCTGCCTGTAGATGGTATCAAACAGCAGATAATAAGCTCACAGCCATTATAAAGTGACAATAGCAAATTGAATAAACAAATTGCTCTTCATATCCTCCGATATTCATGCATATAGGAAGATCTTATGTTGCCATATATATATATGTACAAGATAATGGACTTGTTTAATGTTCTCTTGTCTTTCTTGTTATTTTCTTTTGCCAGTGAGAATAAAAAGTGGTATGACATGTAACCATGAGAATTTGGATAACTAACTAGTCCTGTTCAAGCATTTCTTTCTATTAAATTCTCATTTATGAAAGTGAACACTAGATTGATACATGATAATTGTTCCCCTATGCTAAAGTTGAAGAAAATTGAGAGCAGCTGGACCATTATCTTAAAGAAGTTATTATGTAGTCATAGATTTTTTATAAATTTTGATCGGGAAAGAAATCATAGTTCAGTCATATAGAGAGTAGACCCAAGTCCTCCGATGTTCCATCTGCATTTTTTCATCAAAGGGAAGCTATCGAAATGCAACATCAGAAGAAGCTGTTCAGATCTAGTCAACTGATTAGCTCTATGTTTTAGTGTTTCAGTATTAATCTCCAAATACTTTATTAAAATCACTGATCTCATAACTTTTGGTGCATTAAAGAAACTTATATAAAGAGCATTAACTATTCTCATCCACCAGCACATGTGAATAATGCAGTAACACATGGATTCCTGATACGCAGTAACATGAACAGAGTGGGTGTTTTGCAGACTGGTGATAAACTATTTTTCAATGTTCTTACCTAAACTAAATCTGCCAAATCTAACACAATTCAAGACTTCAATTTTTTACTGATAAAAAAGTTAAATAGAAAACCAAGAAAAACTATCAAACAATCAATAACAAGCAAGAAAATTTAGAGCTTTCATGTTGTCCTCTCTTACAGATCTAACTAAAATCAAAGTTTTTTTCTCTCGTATGCACCCATATATACCTATATATATATGTTACATACAGAGATAGAAAACAAAAATTGAATCATACAGAGACAGAAAACAAAAATTGAATCTGGGTCACCAGTAGAAATCCATTGTGAAAAGTAGAAGCTTTAGTAATGTTCTTGAGTCTGTTTTTGTCAATGAATTCACATATAAAAGCTCCAGATGAGAAAACTAAACTTTAGCAGCCGAATAAATTGCTCTTTTTTAAATTGTACAGTAGAAATGTGTAAAAGTCGGATGCTTTAAAAATTATTAAACTCCATAGGAGCCGCCCACGAGTTTCGTTCACAGTATAAATTGAATATATTCAACAAGGTTTTTTAACCCATAAATAAACACTGCAGATGAGCAGATGTAATCATGGACGTACAGCAAATTCAATCTGCCATTGATACTAATTAGAGCTGAAAAAAGGCACAACAGATGAATTTCACTTACCTACTGTTCTCTCACCTCCAGCTGTAATGGCCGCCACCTTTATCTTCTCTCTCCCTCCAAACCCTACGAATTTACCATCCGACCCCTCTTCTTCCTCCTCTCTACTCCCCTTTTCTGCTTATAGATATGGGTATATTTATAGGGTGAAACCGGTTTCCGCTTTTCATTTCAGAGCACCCAAGATCACCTGCTGCCTATCCATAAAACAGACGAATGATAACTCCGCAACCATTCAAAACGACAGCCTTGATGGCATCCGTGTTATCTTCGCGGCAGGTGGCACCGGCGGCCACATCTACCCGGCGGTGGCCGTCGCCGACGAGCTTAAATCCAGCAACTCCACCTCTAAAATCCTCTTCGTCGGTTTACCCAACAGCATGGAAAGCGCTGCGATCCCATCCGCCGGCTACGATTTCACCGCCATCCCCGCCGTCCGATTAGCTCGCCCTTTCATCTCTCCGGTTAACCTCCTCCTCCCTTTCCACTTGATCAAAGCCACGAGACAATGCTGTCAAGTCTTGCGCGATTTCAAGCCTCACATCGTGGTGGGTACTGGTGGGTATGCTTCCTTCTCGGCCTGCTTAGCCGCTGTATTGTCAGGGATCAAGGTCGTGATTCAAGAACAGAACTCAGTTCCGGGTATAGCGAACTGGGTGCTCTCCTTGTTCGCGGATGTGATATTTGTTGCGTTCAACTCAACGGTTGATTGTTTCCCGAGAAAAAGTAAGTGCATGGTGGTGGGAAACCCGGTGAGGCAGTCACTGAAAGGGTATGTGTCGAAGGCGGTGGCGAGGACCCATTTCTTCCCTAGGTCAGGGAAGCTCGCCGGCGATTCAGAGGCCAGAGTAATATTAGTCCTTGGTGGCTCATTGGGTGCCAATGCAATCAACATTGCTCTGCTCAATCTCTACTCTCAGATGCTTGCAGAGCACAAAAACTGGTTCATCATTTGGCAAACTGGGGTTCATTCGTTTGATGAGATGGATAGTCTTGTTAGAAATCATAAACGTGTGCTTTTGACTCCGTAAGTCTCTTTTTGTTCATGTTGATAACTCGAATTTCGCCATGTGTTTGTATAAATGCCTTCAAACAAGTCACTTTCTGATTATTGGAGTCTTATGCACTGAGAGTTTTTACTGTATATATATATATGTATATTCTTATGCAATTTGAGTAGGTATATTCTTAAATCCTGACATGGGTTTTTATGAAGGTTCTTGCACAACATGGATTTGGCATATGCGGCTGCCGACCTTATAGTTTCCAGGGCCGGAGCATTAACTTGCTATGAGATATTATCAGCTGGGAAACCTTCTATTCTGGTAGGTTGAAGCTGATCAACCAAAAACCAGCTAATATATCTATGTATATATCTATATTCTGATTGAAGGATAAGCTAACTTGCTGCTGGTATTATTCAACTTCTTGAATTGATAAATTTGCAATACCAATTTGATATACTTAGTAGAGCAATCTCAACAAGAAGGTGATAGTTCAGCTGGATTTTGGTAAATGTAAGACGGGGAGGGGATTGTTTGATTTGTACTATCCAGGTATAAGATCTTGATAGATTGTTAAGAGTAACTTACTTAAAAGCTGACTTCACGCATTTGCTACTCATTCTAGTGTTAACCATGGTAGAAACTTTTACAGAGATTTCGTAGATCTGATGGGGAAAGAGTTTCCTTTCGCGTAGGCTAGTTATGGAACTGATCCAGTTTTTTTGTCATGTACCTTCATTGTTCTTTCTTTATTTTTGGGAGTAGAGTGTAAAATCAATAGATTTTTCCTAATGAAGTTTGATGCAGTGTTAGAGTACAAGAAATGCTACTTGGCTTTGTAAATCCATGCCTTCATTTTTCTGATGAAGTTGTAACTTCTTATCGTCCCATTGAATAATTGAGTGTTTGACAACAAAATATTTATGTTTTTGTGTTTGTAGATACCATCCCCGAATGTTGCAGAAGGGCATCAATTCAAAAATGCTTCTTTACTGGCAGATGTTGCAGGGTCTAAGCTTATAACTGAAGATGAACTTGATTCAATCACCCTCAATAGTGCCATTGAGGAGATTTTAGGTATATATGGAATTTTTTATTGTTTTCTTCAAATGATTACGAAATTATATTTCAACTCTTTGAAATTCGTATTTTATTTCTTAATTGACAACTTTCTAATAAAAATACATGAAAATCTATAACTCTTAATCTTTTATAATGGGAGAACAGTACTAATCATCCAACCAAAAATAACTGGTAAATCATACTTGAACTTCGAATGCATTGTAGTACCACTCGCATCACCTTGTTGATATTTCAGGGGATGAGAATTTGATGGCGGAGATGAGCGAGAGAGCTTTAAAAGCTGCAAAATGTGAGGCTGCTGCCACCATCGCAAATCACATTATTTCCATGATTGAAGTATTATTAAGAGCTTCTTAGGAGAAACATCAATCAATTAAGAAAAGACTCTTACAAAAAATTTTCTTCTTGTATATAAAATGTGGTTTGCCGATGACAAATGATATTTTTCTCGAAGGGATTCTTCTTCTTCTGTACTATACATTCATTTTGTACCGATAATTCTTCTGCAAATTCCTCAAACAGCTAAAGGCTGTTGTTACTCTTCCTTCATTTGTACTGATAATTCTTTTCTTGGTGTTCAAGTGAGTGAGATCCATGTTTGTTTTTAAATGTTCATTTCAGTTTGATTCAGGCTAAAACCAAACTGAAATCCATTCATTGTTTCAATTCCTTAATATGTAAACCAGGGATTGGATCAAATGACGTTGGGTTTAGTGTAATTTGGATGAACAGTTTGGTTTAATCTAATTTTTCAGTGGAGACAGGAAAATGCATGTTCATACAATTGACAGAGTTAATGATTATTGAATAATTTATTATTTTATCTTAATAATAGTATATGTTTTTAACTTTTTATATGAATAAATATTTTTCAAATTATTATTTGCGTGTTTAATAAACAGTTAAGTGAAGTTAAATAAATTGAAAATTAATATAAAACAACAAAATAACATTTGACTTAAAAATAAATATTTTACTTATTTTAGTTAGTTTATTTAATTTAGATTTATTTTTACTAAAATAATAATAGTTTTTTCTTAATTTAAGAGAATAAAAGGTATATATTAATCAAATATATAAATATACTAATACAGTTTATAGATTTGTGTTACTTAAATATTTGAATATTTTATTTTTGAAAAGAAAAATATCAATTTAACATAATTGAAAAACTAAAATGCTGGTAAAAGATAAAAATCATAATTCAGAAAATTTTAAAATTAAGAACAGTAAATCTTGCACGTTTAATATAAGTCTGGTCTAATCCTCCATTAGAATCTTCACCACCACTCACTCGCTCACTTCACTTCCGCCATTAAATGGACAGAGATATTTACAGAGAAGAAGAAGAAGAAGAAACGTAAATGGCTTCTTAATTCTAACACATTTCTCGCTTAACGACATTTTAGGCATGCCACGTACCGCTTACAGAACAAAACAATCACTCTCAACTATATGCCTCAAAACGGAGAAGGTCCGAATCCCTCTCCTTCCAAGCAAACTCGCAAGTCATGGAAATGGCAAAGACGACTCCGCAATTGGACATTTGCTCGGGGACGAGAATCGATGCCGCGTCACGTTTCCTCAAACGGATCGGACCAATTCCCTCCCTTCGGGCGTGGGCACGGTTCGGATCGCCGGAGGCGAAGCATGGGAAGGTGGGAAACAGAGTTGCAGTAATTAGAAATTCGAGGAGGAAGATATGTACGGCCGATGAGCTTCACTACGTTTCGGTTCATAATTCTGACTGGCGCCTCGCTCTCTGGCGTTACCTGCCTTCTTCTAAAGTATTCACCTATGCATATCCATACATTGCACATATATATGCATGTTCAGAGACATACATATACGTATATGTAGAGTATTCTTGTGTGATTTATCTACTTCTGTTTCTGATTAACAGGCGCCAGTAAGGAATCATCCATTGTTACTATTGTCTGGGGTTGCCACGAATGCTATTGGATATGATCTATCTCCTGAGGTGATTGATTGTCCATTGCTTTGCTTTGCTTATTCTATCCTAATTATCATCTTGGTTTTTTCTTTTCTATTCCCTGTCTCTCCTTTTTGTATATGTTAATTAAATTAGTCATCTTTTAAATTGATTTTTAGAGTATATGCTATTCATGCTAACTCTTATTGATTGAATTTGAAATGACGAAAAGATATTTGGGTTTAGGAAATTTTTACCCATGATCAGCAGAAATGAATTCATCTAGGTAGCCAAATTTGGTAAAGATTAGGGTTTGAATTGTTGTTTAGTTATGTATTAAATTCTTTCTCTTAAAAAAAAATCTGACTTTTAACTTTTCCATTTTGTAATTTGTTGTATGCAACTATTGCTACTTCTAAGAATATTGACCATGAATTTTATTAATGTTTCTAGTCCTCATTTGCACGCTTCATGTCTAACCAAGGATTTGATACATGGATTGTTGAACTTCGAGGAGCTGGGTTGAGTGCACAAGGGGTGGAATTTGGAGAAACTGAGCTGCCTACCAATATTTTGAGTAAACAGACAGATTCAACCATCATTAAAGGAGATCAGCAATCAGTTATGCCTCCTCTTTCTGAGTGGCAAGAGTTTCTGGCTGCAGCACTAGAAGATTTCCAGAAGCAACTTGATGGGATTGTGAAGTACGATTGGGACTTTGATCACTATCTGCTGGAGGATGTCCCTGCTACGGTAAGGTGATATTCTTTGATATAATATGGCTATTTTTTTTTTCACATTATAAACCATTGTCTGTGTTGTACCTTATTGAATGAGTTTGATCTTAGATGGAATACATAAGAACTCAAAGCAAGCCAAAGGATGGCAAGTTGCATGCAATTGGTCACTCCATGGGCGGTATCTTGCTATACGCAATGTTATCAAAATGTTGTAAGTTTCAATTCCATCCTGTTCCTACTCCTGTCCTGTGAGGCATGCTATCTTCTTTGTGTTGTTATTTTTTGTTTTAACATGAGTTTGATTTCAGCAAAACATGTACCATCTGTTGTTCTGTCTTCCTGCTTATTGTTACTGTTCTGTTTTATTTGAATTAACCATGCTTACATATGCAAATGGATTTGTGCTTCCTAAAAACCACTGCTGTGGTGTTTGAAAATGGAAGGGGTTAACGGATGAGGGTATCCGATATCCTCTAAGTTGCTTAAAGTTGACTGAGATATGATCACCTTGTTAAATAGCTTAGATTGCTTCTCCTCTCAAACAATTCCGTAAGTCATGAGGTTTCAAAGTATGATTTGAAAAAAAGAAGATATTAATTGAAGGCTTCTGGTCAGTTCAATTATATGTCTTGATGTTGTAGTAACAAAATTATGGAGAGATTTTCCCGTTGAACTTTTTGCTACTATATTTGCTGATGATATTCACCGAGACTATGACAAAAAATAAGGAACTTCTAAAAACTTGTGGTTCATTACTCATTATCAGTAATACAAGTAAAGAAAGCTCGAAGTTAATATTGTTTTGGATGCTCAAATTGCTTATCAAATTCAAAGAATCCAGATATAAACATCTGAGTACCAGATTCAGCAGCTAAATTGCATCCAAGCTAGTAAGAGAAAGTCCTAGTTTGGCTTGATGAAGCTAGGCTAAAGTTATTGATCTAGAACCAATAAAAGGAATAAGAAGATGTAACTTCATTTTCTGATAGTGTTTAATTCTATAATAACATTTAATTTATTAGCTATTTTTTATTTAGTAGATTTCCAACATAGACAAAATTTTCATTCTAATTATATTCTGGTGTGCTTATAAATATGATAGCTTAGCATAGTGACTAAGAAAATTATTTATATGATTATTATTCAAAAGTTAAGTTGTTTATTTGATTGTACTCTTGCTTCCTAATAATTTTTCTGTAAGTTCTATGCTCAAGTTCTTTCTTTTCAACATCACATATAAATCCCATGGACTTCTTCATTTAACTTAGGAATTTTAAATGGAAAGGTAGGTCAGTGAGATGTGCTGATGGAGAATATATTTTTAGCTCCTCTTGTCTGAAATGCCCAGGCTATCTTCTCTTTTCTTATAACTTTATTTTTATGCATTTTTTTGGTTGTTCAGGTCATCTTATTTTATGCATTCATTCTTTTTTATACTTATTTTGCTGATATATTTTGTCCAAAATAGTTGAAACTGATCATAGAAAAATATAGCTCTGAATTTATGCTGTAATAGATGTGTTAATGGTATCACTCGTGAAATTTCGAAGTCTTCTTATCAAATTACAATAAGATCCTGCTTCTATATGGTGTTATAATCATGAGCCAGGTGGCTTGCAGGATGATGGGTGATAATGATATATAGATTTTTGAACAATGACTTGGCTGAGTGCTAGAACTATCTTTTATCTTTTAAGACTTTGAAGGTAGGGATTCTGGATTGGCTTCAGTCACCACACTGGCATCAACACTTGACTACTCTTCTTCTAGATCATCCCTCAAGTTTCTCATACCTCTGGCAAGTGTTACAAGAAACAAAGGCTCCATTTGGTAAATGAAAGCAAACCTAAATTTATATATGTTTATGCATAAAGTCATGTATTGTGTTGTACGTACTTGATGCATTTGAGGGTAGATACCGTTCTATACAAATCACCGAAAATAAGTTTTTATTTTATCTGTATCAAAACTATATTTGCATAATCATTTCGTGAACATCGTATTCATTTTAAATTACCACATAGTTGTATGCATAAACATATATAGTTTTAGGAAATCAAAACTAGATAATTGTTTTTATTTACCAAAAGGAGCCTAATTATTCTAAATAATTTTCAATGTTTCACCTTCATGTTGCATCATTGTTAAACAAAATATGATGCAAAACTTATTTTTAATTCAAAATGGTGTACAGGCAGAGCCAGCACAGGCCTTAAATGTTCCAATAATTCCCGTTGGAGGATTGATTGCTGCAGCTCATCCCTTTGCGTCTTATCCTCCCTATATCTTGTCTTGGTTAACCCCTCAAATCTCTGCTCCGGATATGATGCCTCCAGAGTTGTTTGAAAAACTTGTTTTATACAACTTCTGTAAGTAGACAAGAATCTTCTTCCTTTCCTCTTAAGACATTGAGAATACATATTTTCCGTATTATCTCAAACGCTGAAAATTTTTAGTGATGAATTGCTAACGACAGAAAACCTAAAAGAAAAGATGAAAAGAAAAGATGCTACAGATAATCATATATTAGAGTTTTTACTACTACTATTTTCTTCAAATTTAGTATTTTGCTGTATATGAATGAAGATATAACCACAATTGCAGGCACTGTACCCGCTAAGCTTCTCTTGCAGCTGACAACAGCTTTTCAGGAAGGCGGATTGTGCGACAGAAGTGGAACTTTCTTTTACAAGGATCATATTGGCAAAAGCAATGTGCCAATCCTAGCACTTGCAGGAGACAAAGATCTAATCTGTCCGCCTGAAGCCGTATATGGTATAGGCACAATTTCATATTTATTTATCGACTACCGCCATTAATTCAATACACTTGTCAATTAACTCCATTATTCCATGACAATATGATTGGAGCAGAAACTGTGAAGCTTATTCCCGAACGACTTGTCACCTACAAAGTTCTTGGAGAACCTGGTGGTCCACATTACGGTCACTATGATCTAGTGGCAGGCCGACTGGTAAGAGCTAATCTTATATCTCATTATATATAATGATGATATATTTACAGTTCTCGTATTCCTGCAAAACTGACTTGACTGTGAAGTAACAGTTTCTTCTTCCTCTTCTTTTGTTCTTTCGCTACAGGCTGTAAATGAAGTATATCCCCGCATTGTTGAGTTCCTCAATTGTCATGATCAAATTTGATTTTCACATCAACTTTTCCATTTGCATGAGGTGCTGCTTCACTTTCTTCTTCTTCTTTGCAAAGAGAGGAGTTTGGGAGAATCAAGAAAATCAGACAGGAGATATTCTGGCTTTACAAATAACTTCGTACATAACTTAAAGAAACTATATGTATACTTTATAAAAATTGTTATTATAAAGAAACAGTACTATACGACAAAGTACTACGTAAATATTATACTTCTGAACTTAGTGGCTTATAATGATGTAATTTTAATATGATAAATAATTGTGAAATTATAAATATGTTAGCTGTGTAATTGCAAAAGTATATTCAAGCACGTGATTTAATGTTATTGTGAAAGAAATTAACTTACTAAGCACGGTATTAGCGTTATAAATTATACATTTTAAATTTTGATTATAAGTATCTGCTTTATTGTTTGAAGTCTAATTAAAAATATATTTAAACATAACACCATATTAAATCAAATGGGTCTTCCATTCTAAAACTTATAAATCTTTTTGGGATTAATTTGGAGAAAAAACTTTTCCTTTTGGGGGGGGTGAAATTGTGATCATGAATTTTGAGAGTTCTAGCAGTGTTAGTTTTATTTTATTAATCACTAATGACCATATAATTAACTTATTAACAAATTTGAGTTTATATATATATATATATATATATATATTAATTAAAGACAAATAATGCATTAAATAGTAAAAAAAAAAATATATTTTAATATAGATAATTCTATCCATATCTATACTACAAAACATTACTTTCCGACCAAGAGTAATCAAAATAAGAAGTATACCAGAGTAAGCAAATTACTGAAACTAAAATTTTGCATTCCATGCTCGTTGCCGAGACTACTTGAAATTATATATCGATGGTGAAATTCAATTACCAATTATTTAATACCCACCACAGAAAGCTAATATAAATAAACCTGATGTATGGATATATGTGTGCGTGTGTGTGTCTACAGAAAAATATACGTACGTATATACTGTATAAAGAAAGAAAAAAGAGAGAGACAGAGAGAGGTGGACTTGCCTGTTGATATATTTATTCTTTGTGGATTACTCATGAGTTTAACAAACCAAACAAGGAGAAAAGCATATGCTGCAAACTCAAGTGACTTGCAGAAAAAAGACCAATAATATAAGAATATCATTTTGGAGAAAACTCAAGACACGGCATGATTTTCCATCCAATTCCAGAATCATCAATTCACTCAACGTGATTCTGTCATACTACAAAAATAGCCCATCATGTGAAAACCAAATACTGAATTTGAAGGCTTCAAACCAATGAACGAATTCTTGCTTATGGTATTCAAAATCATATCTATACACCCCAGTAGAGGGATAAACACCCAGTTGGGTCAAAAACCATCTTTTGCTGAACCAGAATCCGGCAGCACTAGGGCCGAGCCATGGCAGCAGCCTTGCAGACAGGGCAACTGTTCTTCTGTGAAAGCCATTGTTTTATACACTGAATGTGAAAGCTGTGTCCACAATTCAGCTTTCCCATCTCATCATCTGCTTCATATTCCTCCTATCATTCACGAAAATATTGCCCAATAATGGTTCTTGTGAAAGAAAGCTGGATAGTAAAATAAGAACTCTTGAAGGAAAATTAGAGAGAGAAAGAAACTGCTGTTCATAACTCACTTGACAGATTATGCACTTCTTATCAATATGTGCGCACGAATTTGTCTGCAGGCTGTTAAGAATTGAGTTCTTCGTTTTCCGGAGGCAGTGGCTTATATCGTCTTCTTTCAATCCGGTACTCACATGACCAATTTGATCACCAAGCTCGAGCAGTTGCTGTTTAAAAGTCCAAAAAAAAAAATGAAAAACAAAACAAGGAACATATAATGATAGACTAAAACAAAAGTGATATTTCAATGCACCTCGTATGTCATGTTATCCACATCAAGTCTCCAGTCACGGAACCTGTCATGTGATTCGAATCTTCCTCCCATAAGTAGACTATTTTGGAGCATCATTATCTGCAGCAACCGAGTATGGCCGATTGATGCACAATGAATTTAAAACTCGAGTTATAATCTGAAAAGTTATCCTTACTCTCCCATAGGAGAAACTATATCCACTGAAAGAGGTTGGCTTCAGAAATAATTTTATGGGAAGGAAAATTCTAAAATTACCACCGATACAGCCACCGTTACTATTTTCAGTCAAATTCAATCAAAGAAGGTGGCAAGATTTAAACGAAGGACAGACCTCGGCGAGACCATCAGGAGAAGGATGTCGAACATGGCGGTTATACCTAGCACCAAATACATCTGGTTCAGAATGTGTAGACACAAAGACGGAATCAGAATCCAGGAATGAGAAAGCTTCGGGTGTGACTGTTCTCCGCGGAAAGAAAGGTTGCTGCCAGAATGTGAGAAGGAAAATGAGACAACATAGCCAACATAAATCCAAGATTTGCAAAGCAAAGTAAGACAACGTAGATGAGATAAACGAAAAGAACTTCATACTGGAAACAAAAAGAAGAGAATATAAACCAGTACTTGATTTTTACACATACAACTCGTAATAGAATCACATAAAAAGATACGTTCTCATATAGAAAAGAGAAGTTCAGTCCTATTGTAAATCAAACACAGTCCTTATTAAGATATCCATGTAGATGGGCAACACCCAATTTTGAGGGGTCTGGCATTAGACAATTTTCCCCGAAGATTTTTTAAAAAAAGGAAAACAGACAAAAATCTTTTTGTGTTCAATTCCTGAATGAACTAGACCTGCTTTGAGATAAAACTTTAACTTTGTCACCAAGAACGCTTGAAATAGTAGCCAAAACTCAGTATTAAATTCCTTTCAGAGCCAGAATGGTGGGTCCAAAGTACAATTTACTCTACATACATGACTTATTTATATATGAATACAACAATAAAGCTTGAAAATAGATTATATAAAACTGGAGAATATAATGAAGACACGAATCTTTTTAAGGACAATTTACCCATTATGACAATACATCTGCCTGGTCAAAAACAAGAATACAAAGATTGCATATAGTTCAAATAAGGAGTTTCTAATTCTTTTATCTAATAATTTACTTAAATATTTCTTTTTTTATATTCACTTGGAATAAATAATATATAATAATATAAATTATAAAATATTTGTAGTAAATATATATTTTATTTATTAAAAAAATAACTATTCATTTTTTTTAATCAGGAAACGTTGAAAACGTTTGAAGATCCGGAGGCTGGTGCTTACAATTTATTTAATATTCTTTTTTCACCCATAAAAATATATTTTTATTAAAATTATAAATGGGAAGCGGCGATTAATATTATTTTTCCAAAACGACTTTTTCTTCGACTGATTGAAAAAAAAAAAAAAAAAAACTTGGAACTGTTGGAATGCGATTATACCTACCAGCACTCCAGCAGACATGAATTATTTTCTTTTTTCCATCTTTTCATAACTAGGGTAGATAGATCTGAATCTGAATTAACCGGAAGGTGGAAATTCCCAATTAATTTTTTCTTAAAGGAAACTGGAAAGACCAAACAGATATTCAAAAATTTATGAACTGAAAGCTCAAGAAAATAAGAAGAAAACTATGGAAATTCATCAATAATCAGATGAAATAACCAAAAGAAGAAAGAAAGAATAAATTTCAAACCAAGTTGGCCATTAATGTAACTAAGATCTAGAAGACGCTTCAGCTAAATCCAAGATCAAACCCCACCATCCAACGCCCAAAGCCAAATAATTCCCATTTTCCATGAAGAATTTATATTCCTTTTTCTCGGGAAAAGGAATATAAATTACAAGCATCGATTTCCCAATTTTAATGACAACATCAAACCAATCAACGAAAATGCTAAAAACCCATGTTTCAACTCAATCATATAAGAACCCGCCATGGATGAGTTCTTCAAAGCTTATACCATTAAACCAAAAGGCTCAAAACCAGTCAACCACAAAGGAAATACGAAGATGGCAATTTAGATTATACAAGGAAAATGCATATAACAAGATAAGATTATATATATATATATATAATATCCTTACCTCTCTGTGGTTATTATTGATTTTCTCTCCGTCAATCTTCCCTCTACCAGACACATTCCTTCTTGGTGCCGACACAACGCAATCCACCGACCCGTCAACCACCGCATCAGTCGAGAACCCAATCCCCGGAGCACACCAAACATCTTGTATCACCACACAACCACCATCAATTCCCTTATTTTCCCCACTAGTCTTCATCGTACCATTGCTAATGGTACTCTGATTGTTCCCATTCTTCTTCAGCTGCTGGTGCTTCTTCTTCTTCTTCTTCACCTTCTTCGAATCCCAATCCGCAGATGTGCGAATCACAGCAGGCACAGACACCTGCTGCGACGCAGCCGCGGCGCACCCAAGTCCCCTGAACGTGGTCTGAGTGAAATTGTTGGTCTTCTTCTTGGCGTTAGAGGTTGTGGGTGTGGTTTCGTAGGAGGAGAAAGTGGAGAGGAAGAGAGAGGATATGGTGGATTTGGTACGAGTGGATTGGATAATTGATGGGATTTGTGGGTTTGGATCTGGTTCAGCAGTGATTTGGTTTTTGGGTCTTCTCATTTTGATATGCTCTGACATAGTTGAGGGAGATGATGAGGATGAACTCTCTAAAACTACTGGCATGGCCGTTATCTAGAAAGAAGATAGATTTGAGAAGAAAGGGGTTGAAAACTTGAATTTAGAAACAAATGATAAACAAGTTGAAAACAGAAGAGAGAATAGGAGAAGAAGAAGAAGAAGAAGACGGGGAGAAAATTCAGGGTAGTGGAGGGAGAGAAATGAAAATTTGATTATAAGTTATGAAGAACAAAATTCGTTTTGTGGGTAAGTTTTAATTGATATAAAAATTTAATATTTTGTGTGAGTTTGGTTGGGGGTGGGGACTCTGGTTTGTCTTGTTGTTGGAGTTGGAATTTGTGGGAATTGGCTAATCAAAACAGGCACACACTGAACACAGACTCTGGAATCTGTTGAATACCAGCTTTTGCTTTTCTTTACTTTTGCCTTTTTTTTCAAGCTTAAATAATCTGATGCTTGCTTATTATACAAATAAAAAGCTTCTTTACAATTTCTTTTTTTTATTTATTATTTAACTCAAGATATTTATTAAAATTAATATTATAATAACTTGTATGTTCAGCAGCATCTGTACAGTATTAATTATTATTATTATTATTTGGAGAGGAGGAGGGGGGGTGGGGAGGAAAAAGAAAAATCAGATTTGAGGGGTTGGAGTGGATGACAATTAAAAGGGGCCCAGCCCCAGTGGAAAATCACAAGGTCAAAAATCAAACAGAACATTGGGATTACAAACAAATTAATCAAATTTCTGTATGTAAAGACAAAAATCAAAATAAATAATAAGCTCACTGTCATGTGAAAAGTGAAACTGTTAAAAGTACCCCATGTTGGCTTCTCATGATGCTGGGTCATTTTCTTGTCTCTCTATATATATATATATATATATTAATTTATAAAATTAAAAGAAAATTAGGAAAGCTAAGTTTAAAAATCAGTTAATCCTTTTTGCTTTAATTGGAATAATAATTATTTTGAAAATAAATAAATAAATAAATAAAAGGGAAAAATTTCTCAATAAAACCAAACTTGAAATTTTGCCAAAAAGAAAGACAAAATCATTAAGAGGTTCCGGTCCTTATCACAGATATAATAATTACTATCTGAATTTACAGTAAATTTTGAATAACAAATAATTTACTGTTTGAAAGCTTGTGAGTTAAGTTTTGTAGTAAATAATGTATCAGTGACTTGG